TTATCTTTCCGCAAACAATCTTGTAAAATCTGTATTGATCTTCTTTATCAATATATATTTTAAATTTGAAAATTGTGTTTGTATTCATCCCCCCCTTCTACAAACTGTTTAGTATTCTTGTAGACCCTTTTGGGACCAACAAGTACTTTACGCATAAAAAGTAGTTTTTAAGAGTCTTTCTCAAATGCTTTATAATATAGTATAAATTATCTTTTTAATTTAATTTAAGTTTAATAATGAAATAATTTATTTTTGATTTAATAATATAACATTTTATAAAGATAATAATTAAGTATTTTGTTATAACTCAATTATTATCCTAATTATATTTTTGATTTTTTATATTTAAAATGAGATGTTTATCATGTATTTGATTGTGTTTATCTGTAGTTAGTTACACGAATTCAGATATGGAGCTTTAATAAGTTGTACCTATGCACAATTTACTTGTAATCTTGAGTTTTAAGTAATATGCATTAATAAACAGTACTTTACGTATAAAAAGTGGTTTTTAAAGGTTTTTGTCAAATGATTTATAATATAGAATATATTTTTTTATATATTATTTAATTTAAGTTTAATAATAAAATTAATATTATAAATTTTATAAAAATAATAATTAAGTATTCTGTTAGAATATAATGATTATACTAATTATATTTTATATTTTATATATTTAAAATGAGATGTTTATCCTGTCTTTGATTGTGTTTATCTGCAGTTAGTTACACGAGTTTAGATATGAGATGAAATCGGATATGGATGAACGAGTTTAAGAGTTTTTAAGAGTTTTAAGAGTTTTTAAGAGTTTTAGCCAAATGCTTTATAATATAGTATAGATATATTAAAACTATTCAAAAGCTTACCACTTAACATATAATTAAAATAAATAAAAACAAAAAACTCCTAAACTTTATTAAAAAAACCATGTCAAATTTTTTTTTCCCAATAAATATCGAAAAAAAGTAATATTAGCCGGTTTATTTGTAAGTTCCTCAAAAAATAGAAATGCGTTCAGGTAGAAAAAATATATATATATATATATATAAAAAAAAAGAAATTAAATGAAGAGCGGCGGCAGGAAAAGAGCAGAACAGCCATGAGGAAGAGCGGCGGTGCCGGAAAGAAGAAACAACCTGACGCCATAGATGAAGTTGAACAGATGCTGAGAGTGACCGAAGATGACCTTCTTCTCAAGCTCACCGTCAATTCTCATACAAAATCTAAATCCAAATTCGACTTCGTATCCGAATCCTCCCACAACAACGCGATAGACCCAGATCTCGATCGTCGATTTCAAGCTCTTCGATACAAACCCTCCAAATCCAACCCTAAAACGCAAATTAAAGCCGATCATGAAGATGTCGATAATCTATTAGCTCGATTCGCTGCTCTTAAAGCTCCTACTAATGCAACATCTACTTCTAATTCTTCTAATGAACAACACGGGAAAGTTGTCAAAGATGAAAGTTGCGGCGTCGTTGATTCTGAAGACGAAGAAGATGAGGTTTCGAAGATAATCAATTGGGCAATAGACGCAGCTCGACTTGATCCTTCTCCTTCCTCGGACATCGATGACGATGATGATGATGCGGATGTCGATGACGACAGCGATGATGATTCCGATGATGATGCTAGCCATACAGTACATCGTAAAAAGAAAGGATCAAAAAAATAATTCGGGTAATGTTGATAAAAATTATCCCTAAATTTCCTTAATGATGAGCCATTTATGATTCTTTAGTTACTACTCGAAGATGAAAAAACTAATCATGATTATTGAAAGTGCTACTGGCGATCAAGTATTTATGTTTTGGCCACAGTTAAAGTTCTATTCAAACATGATTGCAGAAAAAGTTAAGTTGGTTGATTGTAATTTCTGAAAAAAAAACATCTTTAATTGTTGAAGCTCCGTATAGTCTTGGCGCCAAAGCTGATTCTTCTTTAGCTAAGTAGGCTTTATGAACGTTAGATAAGATGTGATGATGAGATATGAGAAGAACGGAGAATGCAAATGCTTTGATCTTTTTTGTTTATCCTCTATGTTTCTCGACCCAGACAGACGAAGGAGATAGTAGATTCTAACCCTTTAGTATCATATTAGATCAAAGAAACCTTCAAGGTTCGCTTGCAAGCCTTTTACAGGTGTTCAACAAAAGAATTTGGACAACAATCGACATCCCTAGACCTTCTAGGGTATTTTGTATCTTTTATGGAGAGATTTTTGGTTGGTGATTTACTAGGTATATATTTGGTGTTTGCATAATCTTCAAAGTAGGTGGACCTTTAGCTAGTGTTGTTGGGCAAAGGGAGTTGGACAGATTGGTAGGGGAGGGGGTGTTAGAGTAATGGCAGTTTAGGCTAGAGATGTGTTGTTTGGCCGTACTTGCTCTGTCTGTGTGTGATCTGCTTCCTTACCTTTTTGTATGTTCTCAATGTACCTGCTTGTTTCTTTTTCTTACTTATTTTTTATTGCTTTGTTCACAATATGTTAGTTTGTATTCGTTCTACCTATTTGCGTACACTCTTACACAAGTCTAAGGTCTTCATGGAAACATCATCTTTACCCTATTGGAATAGAGGTCAGGTCTTACATCTCAACGCACCCAGACCCTACTTTCTAGTGGGATTTACCGGGTCAGTTTGGCTTGGTTTATAATCTTCTAAGGGGCTGTTTACCAGACGCATTCTGGATGAGCATGACTAGGACTGAGAATCTTACCCAGTAAGAAGCATAGCAAGGACCGCGAATCTTACCCGGTAAATGAAGGAGAAGACTCTTACTTGGTTAGCGCTTAGCAGGTAAGAGACGTATACCAACAATCCATGTTGATGGTCGATAATGTTTCCCGATAAGTTAAATGAGGGTGGTGACACTTGGCAGCAATCACTTAGTTGGTAAGCATTTGGTAAACGACTCCTAAGTTCATCACGAGTATCATGAATGTTCTATAGGATACAACATAGCCTAGAACAACCTCAAGGATACTAGATATCCTTAGAATTACCTAGACCATTTAGGGTATTCTAGACCCTCCATGGGGAATGCTTTGTTGAGGATTAACCAGGTGCCTATTGGGGTTTGTCTTGGTGCTGTGTGGTATATTTGGACTTGAAAAGCTTGGGTGCATTTTAGCAAGGTTTGATGTTTATAGCACAACAAAGAGCACAGGAGGTTATAAGACATTAAGAAATCAAAGGCAGTGTATTTGGCACTTCCAGAAATGTTGAGCCCTTCAATGATCAGCTGCTGCTGCTTTAAGCATAGCCAGAAAAATTCATGCCTGAGAGCTTTGTCTGCTGCACTTTTGTCGATTTTGGTTTCAAAGCCAAGCACTTGTTTTGTGGTACTTGGAGGAACTCTGGTCTTTTGTATTTTGATTTCAACCATGTTCTGTGGTTATATAGACACAGAACATTGTTCTTTTGAGTTCCACAGCAGCAAGGCAGACAAATTTCTGGACATCTGTTTGATGTCAAATGTGAAGAGAATTTGAACTTTTAATATAATTAACATCTATTCTTTGGTAAGACAAAAAAGGACGTTGATGAAATACTAAAATATATCGACCTGCCCCATTTCCGGCTTAGCAAAATCCTCTTTGTTAAATATGACATAAAATTCCAGATAGATTTAGTGAGAGGTCTTGTCCAAGTCTAATCTACATCAAGCACATGTTTCGTTTCTCCTAGGATTTGTTAGCTCATTGGGTGCAATTGCATTATGATTTGAAGAAACCAGCTTACTTGAACTTCGGATAGTAATTTATTTACTCCAATAAGTAATTTAATTTCGGCTTTCAGCACCCAATTTCTTTTCTATGAGGATTATTGAACATATTGCTTTGGACCTTACAAATAGCTTGCAAGAAGAAATATTGTGGAAGAGTTTCACATCCAAACCAAACCAACCTAGTATATCCCACTCAAATGTAGGGTACTAGAGTCGGGGGTAGGATGTACGCAGAACTTGCCGGCCTAAAAATTCAAACCGTTCAAACCAGTCAAACCAGAAACAGAAAAGGAAAACGTCAAAGCTGCAAACCACAAACCGCCATAGTGTTGCCAGGTTGGCAGTTTCAATCTCCAAAATTACATCAGGCCAATTAGTCTTAATGGGATCAATGAACCATATCAGTTGTTTAAGCGATAAGACAGGGTCGTAACAGATACAGTAGTTTGATAAAATCAAAATGTGATTGTAGTTAGCTGAAAGGATAACTATTGATGCTATTTTAATTATTAGCTTGTAATCTGATAATTGAAACAGTGGAAAAATGAAACACATGTAGTTTCCAGTTTGCCTTATCAAAAGAAAGATAGTTCTACATCTATGACTTCATGAATACATCAATCGACCAACGGAATTAACATCGACTCGATACACCAACACAAGGAAAACATTATATAAAACACCACCAGCATATCCCACCGGAAGGTAGAGTATGATGTACGAAGACCATACTTCTGCTCCTAGGAATAGAGAGACTGATTTCATGAAGACCTCCGACTTATGATTGATAGATGCAGTATTTAAAGTTCACAACTTGTACCCACTAGCAATAATCCTGCAGTTCTACTGGACCCCTAAGCAAGTAGAAATGGTACCCAGAGGCTAGTCATCATCGCTAGAGCATGAACAATAGCACAGACATTTCATCACAGCCTTCACTGCCCTCGACAGCACGTTACCACGAGCAGGAACATTTCTGTTTGCTTCAACCATTTTTTCTCCTTTTAACCACTATACCAGAAATATTAGTTGTAAATCTATATATAGAAACTTTGGCTGTAAATCTATATATAGAAATATTCTTCAGGCTCTATTTCATGTGAAGAAGAGTGATCTTCCACATTTTTTCAAACAATTTTCATGCAAATTTTCTTGTGTTTTGAAATTCAGACAGGTTAGTACTTAGTTTAGCCTTGGTTTTGTCAATCAAATTACTTGACTACTTGTTGATTATGCTTTTTGTAACACAATACATAAATGGTGTTAATTACCCACACTTTTTGCCCTTATCTTCATCATGACGATGATAGTTTCCATTCATTTTTTGTCGAAATTTCTATACAACGCAAGTTTCTGAAAAGAAAAAGATCATCAAAATTACAGATTCATTTCCTCCTCTGTTTTGGTTCTCAAATCGAGTTACTGAAAATGTAAGATAGAAAGATGCTGTAAGTTTTCGATAAGATCTTTAATGAAAATTTAGAAATCCACCGTTTTGATAGAGTAAAAGATATGGCACGTTAGGTATTATCATGTCATCACAAACATAAGAAATCAAAGTAAAAATAATTTGCATCCCGAACATATTAAAACTAAAATAAACAGGATTTTTAAACCAACCTTAAGATTTGCTCAAATCGGGTCCTTTCAATTGCTATATCGAAGATATACTAACCACGATGATTCAATAAAAATACCAAGTTAAGCCCAAAGATTTCTTGTAAAAACACTAGCTGTCTTAGGGGGAGTTTAGCCAACTCTCACTGGTAAGATTCTAGGCCATCAAACCAGGTAAGAGTTGCCAACCTGACTTACCGAGTAATATTTCCGGTTCTTGCCATGCCTCTTACCAGGTAAGATTATTGGTCCTTATCATGCTAGCACGGTAAGGTAAGTGACCTGTCAAGCGCTTACCCGGTTAGTGTTTAGTAAAAGGCTCCTTAGTCTATCATTTACAATGTCTGTGGACAGAATTCAAGTTAAGTTGTTATAATTTCTCGTCTTTCTTGAGGTAATTTACCCCAAATTCTAATTCAAATGCAGTTGAGGTTTAACTTAAATTCTTCATTCAGGTTCCAAATGTCATCAATCAGGTTCCAAATGTCATCAATATATGTATCCTTTTTTAGTAGCTAGTTCAATTTGGTGGTCAGAAATGGGATACTGAAAGCATGAATTTGGAAACACTATGACCTAAATTGTTGGTGATGATACAATATCAGCCTCAGAGATTGTTGATATTCAAGGTTGAGGAATGGGAGATGGTGCCAAAGCGGCCGGTCCATGATTCATGCTGAGATTTTGATATTTTTGGTAATGATTAATGATTCTTCGTAGTTGATCATTAGTACATGCAGATAGAGAGTCTTAGGGGCGTTTGGTTAGCATAATGCTTTTGGAATTTTTGAAAGAATTTAAATGGAATTGAATGGGTTTGACCAAGTGTTTGGTTTGGTAAGAAATGGAATGGAATATGTCCAGAAAATTGGAATTTGTCTATTTGGTTTACAGAATGTAACTTTGAAATTGTAATGGAATAGTGATAGATGATCAAAATACCTCTTTATGCCATGTTCGAACTTTCTTGCTTAAAGTATAGGTAATATGACAAACTTAACAATCACATTAATTGGTGGGGGGTGGCAGTGGTGACGGTGGTGGTGGACAAAAGCAAATGCTGCAACGGTGGCAGGATGGTGGCGTTTGTGGTGGTGGCGATGATGGTGGAATTGGCAGCGGCCAAAACGATAGGGGTGGCAGTGGTGAACTAGTAGTGATATCGGTGAAATTGGATTCAAAGGTGTATTAACTCGTTACGTTGGCTAAGAAATGGAATTCAGTTAGGGGGCTTGACAGTTTAGGCTAGAGATATGTTGTTTGGCTTTATTTGCTCTGTGTGTTCTGCCTTCCTTATCTTTTTGTAGTGTTCTTAATGTACCTACAAGTTACTTCTCTTATTTAGTGTTTTGTTCACTATATGTCAAGCCTTTATTCCTTCTACATGTTTGCATACACTCTGACAAAAGTCTAAGGTTTTCATGGAAACAACCATTCTGTTCTTTTGGGAGTAGAGGTGAGATCTTATTAAATTTCACCAGTCTACCCTTTTGGGGTAGAGGTTAGGTATCATTACATCTCACCCCACCCAGACCTTACTTTCGAGTGGGAATTACTAGGTCAGTTTCATTTAGTTTATAATCTTTTAAGTTCATCACAAGTATCATGAATGTTCTATACAAGGTTCAAGAAGGCGTAAGGCGTGGTGTGGCGGTGAGGTCAAGCCTCAAGCCTTACACGTCACGGTGAGGATGCGGCGTTTTTCTAGGCGTGACATAAGGCGACAAATTTGTATGTCATATATAGAATTATATATATAAATATATGTTTCTATATATTATCTAATCAGATAATGATATTAAAAAAATCTACATTCACATTAGAAGAAGAAAAATCATATAAATTATTATTATAAAAATAGGTTTTTGATTAAATATTTAAAATAGAATTTAGAAAGGTAATTTTACAACTTCATTTTAACCTGAAGTTTTCATTCTGTACATGCCAGATCATGAATTACTCTTCTTTGGTGTCAAGGTGACTGTGTAACGTTTATGAATTTGTAAAACTATGAGTGATATGATTAGATCTATAAAAGTGTAGAATCTAAAGTTAAAACTGTAAAAACACAAAAGATAAAAAATAATTTTTTTTTGGAAAAGAATCACGTGTTACAAAAAAACGCGCGCCATGGCGTGAGCCACGTCTTACAAAAACGCTATGAGCCATTTCGTAACGGCGGAGACGCGTCTTGCGCCATGTCGCACGCCATGGCGCTCCATTTTGAACGCTGGTTCTATAGGATACAAAATAGCCTAGAACAACCTCAAGAACACTAGATATCCTTAGAATTACCTAGAGCTATAAGGGGGCGTTTGATTCGACGAAATGTTGTTGAAGGATTCGGATTTCGTGGAAGGATTTGGATGTTTTGGTGTGTTCGATTTGTAAGATTTAGAATGGAATTGAATTCCATTCTTTATAGATAAGTTCTAGAAACAAATTATAAATAATTAAATTATCTTTTACTAATTGATTATTATAAAAAGAATGTTTTTAACATATTTTAAAAACATTATTACAAATAAATCCTATGAAATCCCATGAAATGCCAACCACCCCCATGGGATTTCTAAATCCAATCTTCGTTGGATCTCATTGAAATCCCGGGATTCCAATTCTAGGCTTTCCTTTAAACCAAATTCGGGATTGGAATGGAATTCAAATCCAGATCCCACCAAATCCCGCAAACCAAACTAGCCGTTTAGGATATTCTAGACCCTCTATGGGGAATGCTTTGTTGACAATTCACAAGATGCCTATTGGGGTTTGTTGTGGTGCCTTTGTGGTATATTCGGTTTGAAAAGCTCGGGTGCAATATTAGGTAAGGTTTGATGTTTATAGTAGAACAAAGAGCAGAAGAGGTATTAAGAAATCAAAGGCAGTGTATTTGAATCTGCACTTCCAGAGCCCAATGTTGAGCCCTTCAACGAGCAACCGCTGCTGCTTTAAACATAGCTAGAAAAATTCATGCCTGAGAGCTTCGTCTGCTGCACTTTTTGTCAATTTTGGTTACATAGCCCAGCGCTTGTTTTCTGATAATACGTAAAGAACTCTGGTCTCTTTGTATTCTGTAGTTATATATACACAGAACATGTTTCCTTTGAGTTCACAGCAGCAAGGCAGACAAATTTCTGGACATGTTTTTGATGTCAAATATGAAGAGAATTTGAACTTTTAGTATAATTATCATCTTGTTCTTTAGTAAGCCAAAAAGAGGATGTTGATGAAGAACTGAAACGTATAGACCTGCCCCAATTAGTCTTAATGGAATCAATGAAACATATCGGTTGTTTAAGTGATAAGACCAAGGGTCGTAACAGATACACTAGTTTCACAAAATCAAAGCGTAATTGTAGCAGGAACGATGATAACTATTGCTAGCTCGTAATCTACTAGTTGAAACAGTGTAAAAATGAAACACATGTAGTTTCCCATTTGCATTATCATAAGAACAATAGTTTTACATCTGTGACTTTATGACCATCTAAATTAAAACCGACTCAATACACCAACACAAGCAAATTGATAGATAAAACCAAACTATTATATCCCACCAAAAGATAGGGCCGGGGGAGGGTATGGTGCAGACCATACTCTACTCCTAGGAGTAGAGGGACTGTTTCCATAAAGACCCCCGACTTATACCATAGATAGATGCAGTATTTAAAATTTACAACTTATGCCAACAACCAATAATCCCTGCAGTTTTACGGGACCTCTAAGCAAGTAGAAATGGTTAGCCAGAGGCTAATCATCGTCACTTGAGCATGAACAACAGCACAGGAGTTTCACCACTGTCTTCACTGCCCTCGATAGCACGTTACCACGTGCAGGAACATTTCTGTTTGCTTCAACCATTTTTCCTCCTTTTTACCACTATACCAGAAATAATAGTTGTGAATCTCTATTTACAGAGACATTGGTTTGTAAATCTATATATAGAAATATTTGATGTTAAGAAGAGAGATGTTCCCATATTTTTCAAACAATTTTCCTGCAAATTTCCTTGAAATGGTTAGTATTTAGCCTTGGTTTTGTCAAATTAAAGTTGATACACATTACTTCTTGTTTATGCTTTTTGTAACACAATACATAAATGGTGTTACTTACCCACATCTTTTTGGCCTTATCTCCATCATGATGATCGATGGTTAGCTTCCATTCATTTTTGTGGAAATTTCCTTATGCTTATGAAACGAAAAGGCTCATTCAGAAGTTACGGTTTCATTTCCTCCTACTTCAATTCTTCGTTTTGGTTCTTAAATCGTGTTACCGAAAATATAAGATAAAAGAGAGAGAGTAGAAAAGGTATGTGAACAGAATTCTGAGTTAAGTTGTTGCACAATATATGTATATGTTTGATAGTTTACGTTAGAAATGGGATACTGAAAGCATGAATGTGGAAACAATATGACCTAAATTCTTCCAAATATATGTGACGGTAATGATGCAGTTGCTTTGATTTTTTTGGTGGTGTTGATTAATGATCCTTAGTAATTGATAACTATTACTTGCAGATAGAGTGTCTTAGGCGATGTTTGTGTTTTAAGAGGTGCTGAAGTCTGAAGTCT